TGTTCTTATTCTTCTGTCTTCCTTTATAAGAAATAGCAAATCTTTTTTTTTTTAAGATTTATTTATGTATGCAGAAGTAGGGTACAGGTCAGAGATGTAGGGGGTGGTGAGAGGCTTCACCAGAGATAAAGTGGGAAGTAGAGGAGGCAGAGCAATGAAGTACACTGCTGAGGGGAGCAGCGGGTGAGTTAGGAAAGGTCGGTTGCACCATGTGGGTCACCTGGGGTAGGGATTGAACTGACACTGAATCTTCTGCAGCTAGCTAGCGGTGCTGCGTGCTAACCCCTTGTGTCACCAACGAGGGCCCTCTACATTTTGATTTTTATTCCCTCCTTTAATAATATATCCTTGATTGTTACATATCTGTGAGTTTTTGCCTCATTTTTTTTTTTTGGTAGAGCATAGCATTTTTACAGTATATGCTATTCATTGTGTAGATAGAATCTTTATGATGGGTACTTGATGGATTTTGATGGCTATTTCTAGTTTTTGTTACATAGTGTTTCAAATAAATGTAAGTATACACATTTACATAAATGTATTTGTATGGTACAGGAGGAAAGAACCTTTTTTCTCAGATGCACCATCTATGACTGAACTGGACAAGAGTTTAACAAGAGAAAATAAAGCAAGTTTATTAACATGTGCATGATGCTTATATGTGGCACATTCAGTAGTGAGTAACCAAAGGGAGTGGTAGAACACGAACTTATATAGCATCTTAACAAAAAACCACTACATTTTTAGGAAAGTTAAAAAAAAAAGGAAATTGAATTTCTGGGATAGAAATTGTGGGAAGGTAAAGTTGATGGGGAGGTCTAACAAAAGAGCAGACTAGTTAATAAAGTTTGTAAGATAGGTTCTACTGCTGCCACCTCTGAATAAATAGTTACTGAGTTATCTCTAGTGATTAAATTCTGCCCTTCCTGATAGAGATAGGAGATACCTTTATAAAGTTTTGTCCTGCTTTTGTTTTTATTTTTTAAACATACTGATATATTTTTTCACACTATAGGTTTTTTTTTTTCCCCTCGGGTATGGTCACCATAGTTTTCCCACAACCAAAGTGCCCACAGTCCTCTGTCAAACTGCACTGTGCTCTGCTTGTGCTCTACTTCTTTCCTGTTCTCTACTTATCACCCTCCTCCACACTTCTCCCCATCTACTGCCTAAGACCCGTTGTCTGCTTTCAAAGGTCAGCCTTATAGTTGTCTTTGTTGGATAGTTTGGTTTCTCTAGATTCCACATGTAAATGAAACCATTGTCCTGCTTTTAGACAAATGGGCAATGGCAAGAAAAATCTCTTGTATCTGCTTCTTAATGGTCTTTGGCTCAAAATAATCCTAATACCAAAATGGCTTATTTGGAGTTGTCATAGTCTGTTTCCCTTCAGAGCTTAAGGTGTATGTGAAGGAGATATTCCTGAATGTGAAATTGCTAGGTGTAAAATGTTTTATTAGGTAATGCAGCGTTGCTCCCTATAAAGGTTATTCAACTTTATATTCCTACTATCATTCTACAAGACTGCCTAGAGATAATATACAAGTTATCACACTTAGGTTTTTATTAGATGAAATATGTTACCTTGGTAATTAAGGTCTTTTGTAAACACAAGTTTTAATCAATAAACTATATTTTAGAGCAGTTTTAGATTTACAGAAAAATTGAGTAGGAAATACAAAGTTCCCATGTACCACTATCCTCACACATGTACAACCTCCCCTCTACCCACAGCTTATACCACAATGTTGCATTTATTACTATTAATGAATTGACACTGACACATCATTGTCATCTGAAATCCATAGTTTATATTAGGGTTCATTATTTTGCTGTATATTCTATGGATTTGAAGAAATGTGTGGTGATTTGTACCATTATATAGAATAGCTTTGAAAAGATGCAGTATGGAGCCTTTTCAAAAATGATTTTTTTAGTAATATAGGCTTAAGTTTCCTTTGTCTCTTCTTAGATATTAGTTTTTTGTTTTGTTTTGTTTTTCTTTTTAGTGCCAAATAGTATCCATCATTTGATGTACCATAGTTTTATCTATTAACTCAATGAAGGACATTTTAGCTTCCAGATTTTTGACAATTCTGAATAAAGATGGTAGAAACATTCACTTGCAGGGTTTTTGTGTGTGTGTGTGGGGGGGGCATAATTTTTATCTTCTTTGTATAAATGCTAAGGAAAATGACTTCTGGATTGCATAAGAGTATGTTTGTGAGAAACTGCCAAATGTCTTCCAAAAGAGTTGTACAATCATCACCAGTGAATGTCTCTTCTGTTCTATATTCTCACCAACGTTTGATATTATAGTTTTTTATTTTTACCATTTAATAGGTGCATCTCAAAAATATGGTATCTTACCTTTGTTACTTCATGACATATGGTGAAAAACATCCTTTCGTATGCCATCTGTATGTCTCCTTCCTTATTCAGGTCTTTTGCATTTTGGAATTGGGGCTAGTCATTTTTTTTTTACTGCTTTATGGCATTTTTTGTTATATTTTATATGATACTCTTTTTATTAGATGCTTCTTTTTAAATGTATTCTCTCAGTCTGTGACTTGTGTGCTCATTCTCTTGACAGAAACTTTAATAACTGAAAGTTAAACCCATAGAAACTTTAATAACTGAAGGTTAAATCCATATAGTAGACTAATTAATAAAGTATATGACTTGATAAATTTTCTCAATGAGTATATTATTGACTTTTCAATAGATCAATACTTTGAATATAGTAGGCTTTCAGGACAGCTTTTTTCTATCAAGGAAGTTGAGCATCTTTTCACATGATTAACGACTGTTTCTTTTTCTGTAAACTTCCTATTTTTACTTAACAAATAATTGGAATTTCTCAAATGGGTACAGAATCTCTTCATCTTTTCTTGGCTTAGGATTTAGTATCACTGTCTTGTCAGGTCTTTTTTTTTTTTTTTTAAAGATTTATTCATTTATTCATACAGAACTGGGGTAAAGGCCAGAGATGAGGAGGGTGAGAGGATTCACCAGAGACAGAGCTGTGAGCAGAACAGGCAGATAGACTAAGCACACTGCTGAGGGGAGCAGCGGGCGGGTCAGGAGAGGTCTGCCGCGCCATGTGGTCACCTCCGGGGCAGGCTGGGATCGAACTCATGCGGAAGTGGCTTTAGCTTCTCAGTGCAGTGCTTTAACCCGCTGCGCCACCAGGGAGGGCCTGTCTTGCCAGGTCTTTTAAAACTTAGTATTTTTGTGTTCCTGTGGTCTTTTGTACATTTTATTTTAGTCTTTATTCACAAGTCTTATTTCACTTTTATTTTTTAAAATAATTATAAACTCCTTAGAGCTCAAACTCATTTTGTATTTATCTTGTGTCTTTTGTATATCTTTACCTTAGTATTTATTCACAATTATTTTACTTTTATTTTTTAAAATAGATTATAAACTCCTTAAAGTTCAAACTCCTTTTGTATTTATCTTGTGTCTTTCATGTTTGGAACACAAGAGGGATACAGTAAACATTAGTATTTGGTGTGGATGCTCTTTGTTTTTTGGATTTTGAATGCCTTTGATTTCATAGTCATCATTATATAATGTAAATAAAGTTCATCTGTTACTGTTGAACCAAGAAGGCTGCTTATTTATTTTTCTTATGCTATCATTTTTGTTCTGTACTACAGTTTCCTTCAATGATTATCTTGGAGAGACAGTGACTTATTTTTGGGGCCTATGTGAGAGATAGTAGATCTTTTATATGTTATAGTTTTGTGAATGTTTTGGTGTAAACGATGTCATCTGTCAAGTTATTTTTCTTGATTTTTTTTGGGGAGACAGTGTGTTATATCTTGTTTTACTTTTTTGGGTACATAGTTACAATATATATTTATAAAATCACATACACAAAATATACATAAAGAGTAAGAAGTACAATGAGCTTCCATGTACTGTCCCCTGGCTTCATGAGTTACTCATAGTACGTAAGGTAAGTACTCTAAATAACATCATTAATGTTGTACAGATTCCTAGAAGTTATCTAGGACTAATCGACTAATTGAAAAATGCAATATAGTAATCTATATACAGTTTGATTTTTTTCTAAACATAGGAATTTAAGCCTACTTGATGCAGTGCTTCATTATTGAGCAGCTATATTTGTATATTGAGCCAAAAGTTATTTCTGAAGAAATACTGATTTGGTTTTGACAACTCTTCAATATGAGGCTTTCAGTTTACTACACATAGTAATTATAGTTTTCTTTTTAAGCTAAGAAATTATTAAAATTTTAAATGATAGCATAAAAAATCTTGTACAGGTAAAAAACTGATAGACATTTTATATCATAAGGAAATTAAAGAAACAGTTTCACTTTTTAAAAATAATTTGTTACTCTTCACTGACACTCTTATGAAATGTCAATATTTTAAATTAATTTCAGGTTTAAAACTTGAATACATATTAACCACATACGGAGTTTCTTATCTTTGGTGTTAAAAATGGCAGTCCATAAACTGTAATCTATTTATTGCCATTATCTTGTCTTTTGATTCCCTCATCAGCATATTCAGTAAATACTTTATTAACGAGACCTGTGAGGATATTGTTTCCTGTCAGAATTGTCAATTGAGAATATTTAATATATTTCAGTCACTATGTAGTGAGTTATCTATGATAATCTATGTTTCAATTAAAATTTTATAGTTAAAATCGAACCAGTGAGGTTGTTTAAATGATTCTCTTTCAGCTGGACTCCTTTCATTTTTGGTGATGATTTTGATTGGGGAACACAAAATACATAAGTTATTCATGGTCTAAGTTAATTATGTTCTGTGGTATATATCTGCACTTACTACATTGAAAGTTTCATACAAATCATATTTGTTAGATTATTTAGACTAACTGAACTTGCATTTATTTTGTATTTAAACATTTTTAAGCATGTTTATATAACATGAAGATTGTGTTTTATTCTCACTGGAAGTTTAAAATTAGAATGTAATGTCTTTTTTGTTTTTTGTAGAACAGGTTGTTGCCCTGGATGCTCAAAATATTGTAGCTGTTTCATGTGGAGAAGCTCACACATTAGCACTAAATGACAAGGGCCAGGTGTATGCTTGGGGTCTTGATTCTGATGGACAACTTGGCCTGCTAGGATCAGAGGAATGTATCAGAGTACCCAGGTAACAAAGGTGACCAGAAAGAGGTCGTCAACAATCTTTTATAATTTGTTACCTAAATTATCCTGCTTACGATGGACATACTACTTGACACCTACTTATTTCTCCTTTATTTTTCTTTAGGAGTTTAGTTAGATATTTTTATATATGCCGTATTTTCTCCCTCGTTATTTATGTTAATAAAGAAAATGGATAGGGAATATGTATTTAATATAAATTTTCTCTTCTGAAAAATTTTAAGTGAAAAATTCAGTTTACTCTGAGTTCCCTAAGCTATTGAAATATTTATTAAATATTGTTGGCATGCTTTTCCCTTAATTTTTAAAAAATCTTATTGAATATAGAAATGCCACATAATTAATGTTAAAAGAATTCAGTCACATTTACTACTTCCTACTTCTTTACATCATAATAGCAGGTACAGTTTAATATATGTTAACTAATGCATCACAATTACTTCAGAATTCAAAAATAGTGCTTCATTAATATTATAGAGATACATAGGCTATAAAAATTGGTTTAATATTAAGCACTGCAGCAAATAATTAATAGTACACTAACTCATACTTAGTTTTGAAAAGTTTACAAACTCTGGGCTCCTCTACTCTTTTGTTTTCTCTTCCTAGTAGTAGTTATAGGGACAAAAGAAATCTCTCCAGAGCCAAGGTATTAATTCTGTGTAGCACTTTAAAAAACACATTCTTAAGTGTCTTATTTTTAATTTAACATTGATAAGGTTAGTTTTCATTTAAATAACTATTAGGATAAGAAGATGGACTGCAGGAACTCTTACCATTGTTAAAAATGAGGTTTTCTTTTAAACTAGGGAAGGTAATTCATTCAATAATTCTGTGAGCTTATTTCATATGTATATATTTATTGAAAAGCTTAAAGTATACATTTATAGTACTTGTGTTGGCATATTAGGCTTTTTTTAATCTTTAGTTTGACATTTATAGTTATTATAGTGAACTGTCTGTTGAGTTTTGGATAATTCACCTTAACATGTATCCTTTATTGAACTTGTGATTAAATTCTACAAAACCCCAGTTCTGTGATAATTAATAATGAACATGATTCACATTGTGTTTTTAATGTTTCTTAATAGTCATGCCATTGTAGAAAACTTTTTTCCTTAGGTTGAGTAAATTAAATTTTTAAAGTCATTTGCACACAAGTGGTTATCAATTTGTAATAACTTGTAATAGTAATACAAACTGTTTATAGAAATATCATAACCACAGATATGCCTTATGCTTTACTGTTTTATTTCCTTTCACAAATAATTGTTGCAGAATGAGATTTTTAATTTAAGATTTTAAATTCTGTGATTTTGGGATTGAAAGGGTTTTATATGTCACATTATCTAAGTTGGTAGTCAAAAAGCCATGATTCATGGCAAAACTTTCTAGTTTCCCTTATTTTTACTTAGTTTCTTAGTTCTCATACTATTTTGTTGTTACTCACTTCTTGTGTAAGGAATTTCAGTGACCTTGTGATCTGTAGATGATTAGTAAATGAAAAGAAAGATAATTATAAGGAGAAAATTTTACATGAAAATTTGAAATGTTCTTGGTAATAGACTGTGATTTTACCACTGTGAACAAGGGTGGGGGCCTGGAGGAGATTTTATTTGAGTCTTTGGTTTAAAGCCTCTATTTTTGTTTTTGCGAAACATCTATATTAGTTTTAAGCTTTGTATTAAGGCATTTCTGTTGTTCATCTGTTTTTCATGGACTGATATGATTTATTGTGACATACATAGTTTATACCAACGTTTTCTTATCTTTCCTATTTTAAGGGAAAATTCAATAGAAACATACTTACGAAAGACTACTAGAGATTATTTTTATTTTTGAGTTCCAAACACATTTATTTGTGCATACAGAACTGGGGTACAGGCCAGAGGTACAGGGGCGGTGAGAGGATTCACCAGAGACAGAGTGGGGAGCAGAACAGGCAGAGCGACGAAGTACACTGCTGAGGGGAGCAGCAGGCGGGTCAGGAGAGGTCTGCCACGCCATGTGGATCTCCTCCTAGGTAGGCGGGGATCGAACTCATGAGGAAGTGGCCTCAGCTTCTTAGTGCTGTGTTTTAACCCGCTGTGCCACCAGGGAGGGCCTTTTTTATTATATGTTTAAAGATGTGAGCCAACTTTGGAAATTCCTGTACCTTTTTTTCCTTTACTGGGGTGACGTTGGTTTACAACACTATATCACACATATTTTGAATAAAACATTTATAAAAAAACAAAAATGAGACTTAGATATTTGTAAGTATTTTTAAAAAATTAAGTGTTTACAATTTTTCTAAGAGTCAGTAGAAAAATGAAATTTATATTAGACTACTTTATTGAAAACAAAACTATTTTTATGCTAGTAGGTAAAAGTTCGTAAAGTAATATAAATAGATTAAAATTGAATGATTACTAGTTTGATAATTTACTACTAATTTTGTTGTTCTGGGCAAAGACTGAGTTGAAGTTAAGTCTAATTTTTACTGTCTGCTAGTTTAATGTAAGTAGAAATACTTATTATTTTTTTATTACAAAAGTTTATTTTTACATCATTTTTT